ATATTAAGTAATCCAAAGTATTCAGAATACGTTACTCTCATTGAGTAACAGAATACATTACAAAATACATTTTGGGGCATGTATTGTGTAATCTGTAGTGGAATACATTTTAAAAGTAACCTTCCCAACACTGGTCCTTGATCCAACACAGCTAATTTAAATGGCTAAATGACCGCCTCAACATGTCTTAAAGTCCTCCAGAGGCCTGATAATGAACAGGTTGACCCAGTTTGATATCTAAAACCTGCGGGACACCGGCCCTTGCAGCCTGGAGATGGAAACCCCTGGATTAGATTATCTACTAATATTTTTGTTTTTGTGGTAGAACTTGTCATATTTTCTCAATCCAGCATAAAAGTTGTATAAAATGGCATTTTCTTTATATTTGTACCTGAGGATTTTATGTTAAAAAGTATTCTACATGATTTATTTTGAATTGCTCAAGAAAGTGGAAATTCAACAATATATCATTCAGAAATTATAACTAGTTCACTTTGCAATATGGCACTTTGTAGGACTGTTTGAATTTTGTTATTATATTTTTACTACCCAGTATTTGAACATTTTTTATGTGTCTATTCGATTCATTCTGATTATAAGAAAGGCCAGTTTGCTTTAAAAAGTCCAAAAAGTCAGTACAGTGCATTAATAAAACAGAAGTACACCAGAAAAAATCCAGCTTTTGAAAGCAAATGAAGTTGTGAGAGAACAAATCTTTACAGTGAAGGAAGTAAATGTGATTGTGTAACTCCTGTATGGAAATGTTTGCTCCGAACAAAGTATTAGGAAAAAGCATGTATAGCAATCAATAACCCTCTATCCCTCCCAATAAGCCTCTGAATCATAATTTCCTTCTGATTGTGAATCACAGTTTCAGCTTCACACTAATTCACCTGCCTCTGCACTCTTCGAGGCCAAAATTGCAAAAAAAAAAGCCAGGAAAAGCCAAGTGTGTTCACCAAAATGTTTCCATAACACAGCTGAAATGTCTAAAATAGTCAGAAGCATTCACACCAGCAATGGAAGCTTGTGGCTGGGAGCTTTTATGGATTCTTTCAGTAATAATCTAGAAGACAGCTAACAGATGCTGCTTACATAAATGAACAGTGGACACTTGACCTCACAACTTCTTAGATCATCGTTGTTTGCTTTTTGCTTTGGGGGGCATACTGCAAGCTACCCAGGCACTGAAGGATGACGAACGTCCAGATGTCTGAAGTTATTACAGTTTGTTGGGAGCAGTGTGTTTTATAGTGACAGGAGGCTCTGAACAGATATGTGAAAATTTTGACATATATCTGCTACTTTCTTCTTTAACGGGTGAATTTGGGAAAGATTCCACTAAACAGTCACTTTAACTGATTTTCTTGCAAATAATCAAAGAGTAAGTTCTCCAGATGCAGCTATCATCCATGTATTTCACACGAAATCTAGTTTTCTCTTTTTGTTCAAATACTTTCTAATAACGCACATATATCAGATGCTGCTCCCTTTCGTTGTGAGAAGTCACTGAATGAATATTGGAGAGTTACAGTTTCCTAAAAGGAACAAGCACACACCCTAACCCTAACCGTTTTGTCTGAAGACTGATCATTTACCAACACAGTACATTCACATCGACGCAAAGGCACATCAATACATGAGATCTGCATACAATTCAGACCAGCTGCAGTCTACATCAGCCTAGACTTCTATGAGTTTTAATTATTCACAAGTACGCTTCATTGAACAAAACTGGGCCGGGAGATGAATTACAGGGAGGTAGATTACAACTCTCCGCCCCTCCCTCCCTTGCTAACCATCTGCCAAGCTTCTAACTAAAAATAGGTGTTAGCAAAAAATGTGCTCATCTGAATAGAATAGATTTGAAAAGCATGAGAGGTGTTGGCATGGGCATATAAATGGGTTATGAGAACAAAAAGTAAAAAGGTATTGTACATTTAAACTATAGAAGTGCACCTGTAGATAAACATAGCTACAAGGTAAACAGCACATTTGCTTTTCTTTAATTTATTAAGACAGATGAA